CATGCACACAGCCACACACGCCCCCACGTGTGCACACACACACATACATGCACACATGTGCACCTGTATGCAGGCACACAGCCACACACACCCCCATGTGTGCACACACACACACATACACGCACACATGTGCACCTGTGTGCATGCACACAGCCACACACACCCCCACGTGTGCACACACGCATGCACAAGCAGCCTACACAGGGCCAGTGAGCTATGCCAGCCCGTTACCCAGCACAAACTTCAGCCTTGACACCATATATATGTATGCGTATACATTTATTTGAGGATGCCAGTATGGATGGAGGGGAAGCAGCCGCCGTTGTGGGAAAGCAGGACTGGGGGGCCTGCAAATGGAACATCTGGAAGATCTTTCCAACGTTCTTACCAGGTACCTTTGGGACGTGGTTCTGTACTTTTACCTATTTTTGAGGCTGTGATTCATCATCCAGAGGATGAAGAAGGCACCCCTGCAGCAGCTTGATTCTGCCAGAGCTGGGAGTGGGACCGGCCTCCCCTGCCTTCCTGGGGAGTAAACAACATCGCCCCCCAGGCCACCCGGGGCAGGTAGGAAAGCAAGCACGCTACAGAGAGGAAGGGCTTCTGCGTTTTCCAGCAAAGGTGGGTTTTTGTTCCCAAAGGTGTTTTCCTGGGCTTCATTTACTTTTGCTCCTAGTAATATAAAATCAAAGACGGCTGGGTGCAGGGGCGCACGCCTGTAATCCCAGCACTTTGGGAGGCCGAGGCAGGCAGCTCACCTGAGGCCAGGAGTTCCAGACCAGCCTGGCCAACATGGTGAAACCCCGTTTCTACCAAAAATACAAAAATTAGCTGTGCTTGGCGGTGCATGCCTGTACTGCCAGCTCCTTGGGAGGCTGAGGCAGGAGAATCACCTGAACCCAGAGACAGAGGTTGGAGTGAGCCGAGATCGCGCCATTGCACTCCAGCCTGGGAGACAAGAGTGAAACTCTGTCTCAAAAAAAAGAAAAGAAAAGAAAAGAAAAGAAAACAAGGGCGTAACATGTCCCAGGAGAGACTGACAGTCCACACTGTTGAATAAAGTGGATAAGAACTCGAAAGCCTGTTGGAGGTTCACTTGTTGACAGTGGTGTTGGATGGACGTCACTCCTCCTGCTTCCAACACGGCTTCCCACACTTGTCCAACGCAGACTTGGGAACAGGCTGAGCAGGCCCGGACCAGGCCATGCTGCTGACCGAGCACTGGAGTTCCCCTAGCAGCCCCCTGAGGCAGTGGGGGGCCCAGCATTTACGGTGCTTTCTGTGTGAGGTCCTCACTTCTCCCCGGAAGCAGGGGGATTCTTGAAGACCTCAGCATCTTCCGGCTTAAGGGACCCTGAAAACTGTTGCAGATGAACCTCCTCGGGCTGAGCTGAGTGCCTGTCTCGAGCACTTGCCTCTCTTAAAAGGGGAACCAGGGCAAAGTTCTTCCAGTGTCTGCCTGAAACTGAAGGGTAAAACACGATGACTACCTTGGATGCAGCAAAACGAACACTTGCCTCTTGGCCTCACAAATCCCTGCATAAAAGGAGGCCCAGGCATGCGAGTGCTCCCTGCAGGAGCTGGATCATGCCATGTCCTCTTCCTGCAACTGCTCAGAGAGCCTCGTGGACTCGGATGGCTCCTTCAATTCTCTTCCTCTACCCCACCCCGACTTGTTTTCGGACTCAAGAGAGCCCATCGCCTGCCCCTCTTGGCCATTTCCTCCCTGCCCAAGTGGGAGGGAGAGGAGTCCTCCAAAGAGCAACGCTGAGGCCTGCCCCATTAGTGGCTCAACACCAGGGCAGCTCTGGGTGAAGAGCACTGCCAAGGAAGCTGGATTCCGGGTCCAGGCCTGCTGCACTCCAGCCTGGGCAACAGAACAAGACGCCGTCTGAAAAAAAAAAAAAAAAAAAAAGAAAGAAAAAAAAGAAAAGAAAAACAACCGGGCACGGTGGCTCATGTCTGTCATCCCAGCACTTTGGGAGGCTGAGGTGGGCGGATCACCTGAGGTCAGGAGTTCAAGACCAGCCTGACCAACATGGAAAAACCCCATCTCTACTGAAAATATAAAATTAGCTGGGTGTGGTGGCCCATGCCTGTAATCCTAGCTACTCAGGAGGCCAAAGCGGGAGAATCACTTAAACCCGGGAGGCAGAGGTTTCAGAGAGCCGAGATGGCACCACTGCACTCCAGCCTGGGCAACAAGAGCAAAACTCTGTCTCAAAAAAAAAAAAAAGAAAGAAAAAGAAAATAAATTATAAATGTGAAGTCAGGCAACCTCCAACCATCCCCCATCCCTGCCCCAATTAACATGTCCATCCCTGTCACTGGGTCGATGTGTTTATAAATATCACAGTGTCTGTGCAATGTTGTAAACTGTCAACAACATCATGCAAACATGATGCAAATCAACTGCAAAGCAAAACAGCGAATCCGTCAAAGATGTGGGATTTCACTAAATCAACGAGAGTGACGCTGAAGAACCGCTCGAATCACACGCAAAGCTGCCTTTCGGTAGCGCTCTGACAAAGTCAGACCAGTTAACAGCTGACCAAGAGATCATCAGTAAGCATGGTTGCGTGACGCGGGGAGAACGTCCGACAGAACTCAGGAAAATCACACGACTGCAGGAGGCCTGTGGAAAAACCGATGGGCCTCCAGCAATTTTCTAAAAATGAGCCTTTGATAAAATGGATTTTCCTTTCCAGCTGTAATGGAGTATCTAGTACTGTGCTAGCCATCCTGCTGTCAGCAGTCACAGAACTAGGCAACCTACACACAGCAGATGTTTTTCAGAGATGGGACATTAGGCAGCAGAAAACGGCAATCCCACAAACAACACAAACCTGCCGTGCGCGGTGGCTCACGCCTGGAATCAGCACTGTGGCGGCTGAGGCGGTGGATCACGAGGTCAGGAGATCGAGACCAGCCTGGCCAATACGGCGAAACCCCGTCTCTACTAAAAATACAAAAATTAGCCGGGCGTGGAGGCGTGCACCTATAGTCCCAGCTACTCAGGAGGCTGAGGCAGAAGAATCACTTGAACCTGGGAGGTGGAGGTTGCTGTGAGCCAAGATCATGCCACTGCACTCCAGCCTGGGTGACAGAGACAGACTCTGTCTCAAAAAAAATAAAAATTAAAATAACACAAACTTAGCAGCTAAAGATTTTTAAAAATTTAAAATTTAAAAAGACCAGGCACGGTGGCTCACACCTATAATCCCAGCCCTTCAGGTGACCAAGGTGGGTGGATTACCTGAGGTCAGGAGTTCAAGACCGGCCTGGGCAACATGGTGAAAGCCTGTCTCTACTAAAAAAAATACAAAAATCAGCCAGGTGTGGTGGCGGGCACCTCTAATCCCAGCTGCTCCAGAAGCTGAGGCAGGAGCATTGCTTGAACCTGGGAGGCAGATGTTGCAGTGAGCCCAGATCGTGCCACTGTGCCCCAGCCTAGGCGACAGAGTAAGACTTCATCTCAAAAAAAAAAAAAAGTTCTGGAAAGAGTGGTGATAGTTGTACAATAATGCGAACGTGCTTAATGCCTCAGACTTGTACACTTAAAATGATACGTGTTTTACCACAATTTTTTACAATTGAATACAAAGTAACTCAAAACAAAGTGTGCAGCGTTTTCATTTTAACTCAAAATGTGTCCACTATAAACTAGGCCTGCTTCCTTTTTAAGTAAATGTCCTCAATTTGACATTTTTAATGTTTTCTATTAAATGTTTACCAGTAACTGTTAAACGGCTTTCTTTCTGGTAGTAATTTTCTTCGGAGTTTTTCTATTTTTTCTTTTTTTTTTTTTGAGACAGGGTCTCGTTCTGTCCCCCAGGCTGGAGTGCAGTGGCTCGATCTCAGCTCACTGCCACCTCCGCCTCCCGGGTTCAAGCAATTCTCCTGCCTCACCCTCCCGAGTAGCTGGGATGACAGGTGCCCCCCACTATGCCTGGCTAATTTTTGTATTTTTTTTAGTAGTAATGGGGTTTCTTCATGTTGGCCAGGCCGGTCTTGAACTACTGGCCTCAGGCGATCCGCCCGCCTCAGCCTCCCAAAGTGCTGGGATGACAGGCGTGAGCCACCGCACCTGGCCTCCCCGGGGTTTTTCTACTGAAAGCATCCCCTTTCCTCTCTCTCCCTCCCCTCTTCTCTACCTGCCTGGATGTGTTCATGAGTGACACCTGTTCCCGTGTGGCTGTTTGTGTCTGCACAGCCCCACAGAGCTCTGACGCGGCATGCACACATGCAGGGTGAAGATCAGAGCCAAGGAGGCAGGGCAGCCCACACAAGGAGGCAGGGCGGGGCTGGCTGCATCCCCCGGGGTGCTGAGGACAGGTGCGTGGGCTGGAGGTGCTGGTCCAGCTGCTTGCACGGGCCTGGCACGCCGTCAGCTGCATCAGCATGCGTGAGGCACTCACGTCAGCCCAGGACTATGTGCACATGGCTGACGTCAGGGGCTGCTCAGTGCCCAGGTCCTGGGGGGTGAGGAGCCCGGCAAGGGCCTGCAAGGCTCCCCCTGCCAATGTTGGGCCACCAACCGAGGAGGCGCCAAGCACCGGCCCTCCCCACCTCACCTCTGCTTGACCGCAGGGAGAAGCTCAGCGTGCGCTTGACACCCTCACAGTTGCCCGGGTCTTCGTTGATGATGCCCACGTTGGTGTTCCAAGTGGTCCAGTTTACCTCGTCCACCCTGCAGGGCGAGGGATCGGGGCAGCCTGAGAGCTGGGCCAGCTTCCTGGTCCGAGTGCTCTGCCCACAGGCCCAGTCCAAGAAACACACACATCAGGACACAGTGGGTAGGGAGGGCAGAGAGGACTTGATTTTTGGACACCATCCCCAAAGATGTGATCTCTGACCATCCCGGGAGGCCCAAGGACTTTAAATATTGGACGGCAGGCTCTGACCCTGCTCACTAGACGACCCCTTGGGACACCTGGAATTTTCTGGAATTTCGTGTCTGGGTCGCACCAGCTGAGATCTCAGATGGGTCCTGTGCGGACTCACAGCTGAGCTCTGGAGGGGGCCTCCTCCCTACAGCTGGCCTTGGGAGAGCACCCCGTGTTCATGATGGGCCCAGGAGGCCCCGAGGCAGCCTCTGTGCCCACGGGGAGCCCCGAAGCTCCCAGGCTCCGACTGGGGTGAAGCCTGGCGTTACCTGAAGCACCATCTGTAGTCGTCCTGGCCGTCAGGTGTGTACCCCACCTGCAGCAGCTTGCCGGAGCGGAAGGCCTTCCTCATGCACTTCAGGAAGCTCTTCTCCGTGTCCAGGATGGTGATAGCTCTCTGCAGGAAGACAGCAAGGGCAGAGGCCCAAGGGGCAGAGGCTGCATCCCAGGGCCCCGTGGCTGCCAGGACCCATCTCCCCGGGGGCTCTCCCAGCCCCAGATGCCTCTGGGCTGGTATCCAGCGCCCTCCATGCTGGCCTTGTTCCCAGAGCCTGGCAGGGACACGCTCTATGCCGGGAGCCCAGCCTAGCCAGCCCAGACCTGCCCAGGTGCTACCGGTGCCTGCTGGGCCTACACAGGGCAGCCCAAGGCATGAAACGGAATGCTCCAGACCCCACCCTGAGGCGCTCACAAGGGGCTGAGAGCAAGGCCCCGGGTGAGACCGCCTGGGCCAGGTCCTGGCTCTGTCACTCACTAGCCGTGTGGCCTTGTGCACAGATAGCCAGCTTTGCTACGCCTACGCCTCAGTGCCTTCACTCAAAAACGGAACAGTATGGTCCGGCGCAGTGGCTCACACTTGTAATCCCAGCACTTTGGAAGGCCAAGACGGGTGGATCACCTGAGGGAGGGAGTTCGAGACCAGCTTGGCCAATGTGGTGAAACCCCGTCTCTACTAAAAATACAAAAATTAGCTAGGCGTGGTAGCAGCCACCTGCAATCCCAGCTACTAGGAAGGCTGAGGCAGGACAATCACTTGTACCCAAGAGGCAGAGATTTCAGTCAGTGAGCCGAGGTCTCACCAAGGCACCCCAGCCTGGGCGACAAGAGCAAAACTCTGTCTCAGGGAAAAAAAAAAAAAAAAAGGAACAGTAATAGAATGCATTTCCCAGGGCTGTTGTGAGGATTAAATGAGCTCAGGTAGGACAGAGAAAGTGCTTCTTAATAAGAAGGAAACTTATTATTAGTAGTTGGGGTTGCAGATGTCGGCGACGGGGCTCAGAAACGTAGCTGGCAGCCCTGCCCCGTGCTAGCTGCTCCCCTGAGTCTGGCCTCTAGGGCCCTCCTTACACCAGGCTCCTCTGAGGCAGACACGCTGTGGGCTGAGCCCTCTTCCTCCTTCCCTCCAGGACCACCCAGGCCACAACCAAGCATGCGGTCTAGAAACACCAGCTGAGCTAATCTGCCCTGAGCAGATGCTGGCCGGGGGAGCTTGCTGGGAGTCCACGGACGGAGGTGCTGAGGCTGCATCCTCGGGCCTGGCCGGGCTTCCTGCAGGGCTCACGTGCCCAGCTGTGTAAGGCAGTGGACCCGCGCCCTCCTGGCTGCTCTCCTGCCCCCGCCACCCCCCCACCCACCTGCAGCTTCCAGATGTTCTTGCTCTCCTGCGCGATCTTGTTGACCGTCTCACCCATGAGGGCGATCAGCATGTTGAGGAGGAGGATGTAGGTGAGGATGACGTAAGCCAGCAGCAGGATGATGAACACGGCCTTGAAGTCATAGTTCTCGGTGAACTCCAGGTCGCCCATGCCGATGGTGAACTTGAACAGCTCCAGGCACGTGGAGTACAGGCTGTTGTAGGAGTTATCGGGGGGCCTGCAGCCAGGCCCCCGCCCCCTGTGCGACGTGGACTCAGTTGGCAGAGAGTTGTTCTTCCCGTCTTCAATCAGCGTCACCACCGCTACAGGGCATGGAGAGGGTGGGGCGCTGCTGGATGGAAGCCAAGACCCCGAGTGCCCAGACATACACCCTCCTGCTCAGCCATGTGGCACCTTCGTGAGAAGTTATTTTTAAGGCACTTCTTCTCTAAAACTATCAAAAAGTTTTTTACAATATATTGTTTTATGAACTTTATCATCATCTATTAGAAAAATACATATATACACATATAAATCTATATGTGCAATGTGCATACAGCCACCGCCTTTGTGCAGTGCACAACCTGCTTAACCGTACCTGTCAGCTCTGGCTCCACACTTGCTTTGTCCGTCACACCCTGTCTGCCTGCATCCCTTAGAGGTCCATTATGCAACCCTGAGCACTGAGGAGCTCAGAGCAGACTGGCCTCTTCCAACACTCTGCGCGTTTCTTTGGGAAGTGGGGCACAGAGCCTGAGATCTTCCGCAGCAGTTCTGCGTACCAGTACCCACTAACCCCCTGGCCCAGTCAGTCCCTTCTGTACCTACTGAAATGCAGGGCCTTCAGATCCAGCTGCCCATCCCTCCCAGCCAGAGATTCTAACGCAAACTGCAGGGTGGGGGCGGGGAGGGTGCGCCCTGTGAACCATGTAACTCTGGGACTTGGATGAGCATCAGAGCAGACTCAAGTACTCAAAAAATGATGTGGAGGCTGTGCAGTGGCCTGTCATCCCAGCCCTCCGGGTAGCTCACACCTGTAAGCCCAGCTACTCAGGAGGCAAGGCAGCAGAATCGCCAGAACCCAGGAGGCAGAGGCTGCAGTGAACTGAGATCGCTTACTGCACTCCAGCCCGGGTGACAGGCCAAGATTCCACCTCAATAAAAAAAAAAAAAAAAAAAAGTCATCATTTGGCCCCAGGATGGGATGAAGTGATTCAGGTAAGGCTCATCAATGGATGCTAACTTCTGGGTAGAAGTCTGGCTATCCACACAGTCTCCCAGCATCTCCCTGAAAAGTATCCATTACGAAGGTAAATACAGTAGCTTTACCATGGAAAAGTCTGGCCGACCCACCAACACCAAGTCACCAAAGCTAACGTCTCCAGAGGTGAGGCAGACGTCATGTGACTCCCAATAAAACGTACTGAAGGGCCGGGCACGGTGCCTCACGCCAGTAACCCCAGGGCTTTGGGAGGCCGAGGCAGGCGGATCATGGAAGAAAAAAAAAAATACTGAAGAAGACACACAGCGCTTCTTGATACTCTGGCCAAAAGCGCACGCCTGGCTGTAATCATCAGACACACCCAGACTGAGAAACACTGCGCAAAACCACTGGCCTCTACTCATTACAAACTCTAAGGTCACAAATGACCAGGGAAGACCCAGGAACTGCCCCAGATAAAGGAGACACAGCGCCTCACGCCTGTCATCCCAGCACTTAGGGAGCCGAGGCGGGCAGATCACTTGAGGTCAGGAGCCTTCGACCAACGTGGCGAAACCCCGTCTCTACAAAAAATACAAAACAATCAGCCAGGGGTGGTAGCACCTGTAATCCCAGCTACTCGAGAGGCTGAGGCATGAGAATGGCCTGAACGTCAGCTGAGATGGCAGGCACCACTGCACTCCAGCCTGGGCAGCAGCATGACACTCTGTCTCGAAAAATAATGAATTAATTAGTCAATTAATTATTAAAGGAGACTAAAGAAGCATAACAATGGAACGGAATGCATGATCCAGGATTCTCATTTTCTGCTAAAGACCTTAGGAGGACAATTGATGAAATTGGAACAGGGCTGTGGGCTCGATCATAGCGTGAATCCATGTGACCTTCCTGCCTGTGATCTTTCAGCTGTGTTTATGTAAAACAACTTTCTTTCTTTTAGGAAATACACAGTGAAGTGTTTTGTGGTAAAAGGGCTGATCATATCTGCAACTTACTCTGAGTCTTTTTCACGTGTGGCCTACGTGTGTGTGTGGGCGCACACACGCGTGTGTGCAGGGCTGGAGAAAGTGATAACATAAAACATGGTAATTTGGGGGAATCTGGGTGAGGAGTACAGAGAAGGTAATGGTTCTATTCTTGCAACTTTTCTGGAAGTCTGAAATAATGTCAAAATTAAAAGTTGAAAAAAGCAACAGAGCCAAAATGATATACAACAGGCAAGCACCCTTCTGGCCTGGGAAATTACTAACAACTTTTATTTTTTTGGAGACGGAGTCTCACTCTTTCACCCAGGCTGTGATATCGGCTCACTGCAACCTCTGCCTCCCGGGTTCAAGAGATTCTCCTGCCTCAGCCTCCTGGCTAGCTGGGATTACAGGCATGCACCACCATGCCTGGCTAACTTTTGTACTTTTAGTAGAGACGGGGTTTTGCCATGTGGGCCAGACTGGTCTCAAACTCCTGACCTTGTGATCCACCTGCCTCGGCCTCCCAAAGTGCTGGGATTACAGGCTTGAGCCACCATGCCCGGCCTGCTTAAAATATGTTATGAATCACTTGTCCAAGTTCTGCGGCTTATTTCAGTGTGTCCTCTGCCTACCTCTCTGTCACTGCAGACATGCACCTGTCTACCCTCCTCACTCAGCACCTGGCAGTCTTCAGGAGGCCCAGGCCAGCAGAGCCCCGCCCTCCCCCAGCCCTGACCAAGCCCATTACCCGTGGAAAACCCGAACAAGAAGACGATGTAGACGAACATGAAACGGCACAGGTCTCTCAGGATCATCTGCAGGAGAGAGCAGGCTCATCAGAGCCAAGTCCAGGCCCAGGAGGAGCCGAGGGGAGGGCCGGGCTGTGTCAGCCTGGGGGTGCATCTTGAGAATGCCCGGAGGGTTTGCTGGTTCTCAGCTCGGGGGTCTTGAGGGAGCATCCACCCTTCCCCCATAGCCTTCCTTCCGGTGGGGAGACGGAGGCCTGGTATGCAGAGGGGTCAGGTTTCAGGGGACCCCACACACAGCCAGGTCAAGGCCAGATTGCTTGATTCTTGGAAAATGGGCTGGGAGCTAAGCCAGCCCCTTCCCGGGCAAGACAGAGAGGATGGGTGGAGTTCATGGGACAGCGTCTCCCGCGCCCACGAGGTAATCGGGGTCCTAGGAGACCCCCTGGGGCACAGGGCACCCACCTTCTCTATCATGACGGCATAGATGCCCATCTGCTGGAAGCCGCGCGTGTAGTACAGCATGTTGGTCCAGCCCAGGGCCAGCGAGAACACCATGGAAGCCACGTACTCCTTGCAGTGGCTGAAGTACAGCACCACGGTGGCCAGCATGAGCAGGGACTGCACAAAGCTGGGGGTGGGGGGCAGAAAGCTCCGTCACAGGAACCTGGGAGGCCAGGCGCCCCCAAAACAAAAGGCCGCAGGCTGCTCAGAGGCCCAGACTGCAGGGGCTAGGGATGGGCTGCCCTGACTCCTTCAGCCCACGCATTCTCTCTCTCTTTCCTCAGGCAGTCTCGCTCTGTCACCAGGCGGGGGTGCCGTGACACAACCTCAGCTCACTGCAAACTCTGCCTCCGGGGTTCAAGTGACTCTCCCACCTCAGCCTCCTGCGTAGCTGGGACTACAGTCATGTGCCACCACGCCCGGCTAATTTTTGTATTTTTAGTAGAGACGGGGTTTCGCCATGTTGGCTGGGCTTGTCTTGAACTCCTGACCTCAAGTGATCAGCCCACCTCAGCCTCCCAAAGGGCTGGGATGACAGGCATGAGCCACCGCGCCTGGCCATCCACACTGTTCTGTAACGGTGCGTTCACTCATCTGCCCCCTCCTAAAGCAGCGGTTCTCAACCAGGAGTGATTCTGGCACCACCCCCCAACAAGTGAGGGGCCTTTGGCCACATCTGGAGAGATTCTTCATTGTCAAGACTGGGGCACAGGGAAGAGCTCCGGGCGTCTGTGAGTAGAGGCCAGTGATGCTGCTAAATATTCTAGAAGGCACAAGGCAGCTCCCACCACCACACTAAGCATTATGCAGTCCGAAATAGCAACAGTGCCAAGGTCGAGGAACCCCAACCCTGTTAAAGACAGGAAACTCCCTGAAGGCAGGGACCATGTCTGGTTCATCCAGTATTCCAGGGCCAACCTCCTGAATGGCAGATGGAGAATGGAAAGGTTAACGAGAGTGTTCTCACTGGGATTGTAATTCACGGCACAGTTCGTCCATCCCTGGCACCTGGCACAGAATGGCCCTCAGGATTCATTCATCCCACAAGTATCTTTTTTTTTTTTTTTGAGACAGAGTCTTGCTCTGTTTCCAGGTGGGGGTGTCGTGAGGCAATCTCAGCTCACTTCAACCTCCGCCTCCCGGATTCAATCGATTCTCCTGCCTCCACCTTGAGAGTAGTTGAGACTACAGGTATGTGCCACCACACCCGGCTAATTTTTGTATTTTTAGTAGAGACATTTTGTATTTTTCACCATGTTGGCCAGGATAGTCTCGATCTCTTGACCTAGTGATCCGACACCCCCGTCCCCCAGCCTCGGCCTCCCAAGGTGCTGGGATTACAGGCATGAGTCACCCTGCCCGGCCCACAAGTATCCATGGAGTGCCTTCCGCCATTCCTTCAACATGTTCACTGAGGTCCCACTATGCGCCCGGCGCAGCGTAAATGAGAGCTCACATGATAACTGACTGCTGTCACCTGGGACTGGACTGGAAATGAGTGCAAGGGTCACTTACAAAAGCATCTCACTGTAGCTGTCCACAAACAAGGTCTTCAGCGACGGCCGCCTCTGCAGGAAGTACTGAATCTGCAGGTAAACAGACAGAGGAAGGTCCCCAGCAATGCTTGACGTGGCTAGATGGCCAGCACTCAGACGCTTCCTAAATGGCGCCATGATGGGGTGCGGAGCGTGTGAAAGCAGAGATTGTGGAAAGGGTGGAACGGCATGGATCAGGCCAATGGGGTAACACTAGGTGACCCCGTCAGTACAGATTGCCAAAAGTACACAGTGGAGCTGGGCACGGTGGCTCACGCCTGTAATCCCAGCACTTTGGGAGGTTGAGGAGGGTGGATCACAAGGACAGCAGTTCAAGACCTTCATCCTGGGTAACTTGGTAAAACCCCGTCTCTACTAAAAATACAAAAAATTAGCCGGATGTGGTGGTGGACGCCTGTAATCCCAGCTACTCAGGAGGCTGAGGCAGGAGAATCACTTGAACCCAGGACACAGAGGTTGCAGTGAGCCAAGATTGCACCACTGCACTCCAGCCTGGTGACAGAGCGAGACCCTGTCAAAAACAAAAAATACACAGTGGATTTACAAATATACCCAGGAGTGCAGACAGGAAGGAAAGTCACCAAAATGTTATCAGTTGTGTACCGAATTGGGCAAATTTTTTTCTTCTTTCTAATTGGTGCTTTTTTCCTAATTTTTTTTCTTTTTTCTTTTCTTTTTTTTTTTTGAGACAGAGTCTTGCTCTTTCGCCAGGTTGAAGTGCAGTGATGTGATCTCGGCTCACTGCAACCTTCACCTCCCAAGTTCAAACAATTCTCCTGCCTCAGCCTCCCGAGTAGCTGAGACTACATGTGCACACCACCACGCCCGGCTAATTTTTGTATTTTTAGTAGAGACAGGATTTCACTATGTTGGCCAGGATCGTCTCGATCTCTTGACCTTGTGATCCGCCTGCCTCAGCCTCCCAAAGTGCTGGGATTATAGGCGTGAACCACCACACCCAGCCTTTTCCTAATTTTTTTTTTTTTTTTTTTAAAGACAGGATTTCACCATGTTGGTCAGGCTGGTCTTGAACTCCCAACCTCAGGTGATCCGCCCGCCTTGGCCTCCAAAGTGCTTGGATTACAGGCGTGAGCCACCACGCCCGACCTTTTCCTAATTTTTTTTAAGAGATCAGAGTCTCACTACGTTGCCCAGGCTGGTCTCAAACTCCTGGCCTCAGCCTCCTAAGTAGCTGGGATTACAAGCATGAGCCACATTTTTCTTAATTTTTTCACCCCCTAAGCATACTTTTTTCTTAATTTTAAGTAAGTGTTAAAAAAAAAATTCTTGTAAGAAGCTGCCACTGTCAGCCAGGAGTCCTGTCCAGGACAGCCCCACACTCTGCTCCCTCCCTCAGGTCCACCCTGCTCTTGCCAATCCCGCCACGCTTGCTATGTACTGTGGCATTGTACTTTATTGTAACGTGAACTGTGAAAAGAAAGACTCTGTGAAGACAAAGTTCAATGACAGAACAATTCCATAAAGATGAGCGACTTTTAAAAATTGGGTATAGCTTACACCAAAAAGACTGGGGGATAAAAATCACAATGGAGCCTGGCGTGGTGGTGCCTGCCTGTAGTTCCAGCCACTCCAGAGGCTGAGGTGGGGGGATCACTTGAGCCCGGGAGACAGAGGTTGCAGTGAGCCATGATCGTGCCACTGCACTCTAGCCTGGGTGACAGAGCAGGACCCCATCTCATAAAAATTAAAATTAAAATACTACAAGGGTTTCTGGAGTCAAAAAAAAACACAATCATCTCAAATTCTACATTCAGACATTTTTTATGCATCTAAGTTTTCACTCTTCTTTAAAGAAGCTGAAACTAGAAATCTTAGATGATATAAATATGGTGTTTGCAAGAAAGGTGATGAAAAATCTGAAACAGTGGGTTCCATGTTCAAAGAAAAGATTACTCCTGCATTACAAAAAAAAAAAAAATGGCCAAGGATTCCACGTTTGAATTTCCAGTTAAAAATAAAACAATACCTTGCCAGTGCAGTGGCTCACGCCTGTAATTCAGCGTTTTGGGAGGCTGAGGTGGGTGAATCACTTGAGGTCAGGAGTTCAAGACCAGCCTGGCCAACATGGGTGAAACCGTGTCTCTACTAGAAATACAAAAAAATTAGCAGTGTGTGGTGGCAGGTGCCTATAATCCCAGCTTCTAGGGAGGCTGGGGTAGGAGAATCACTTGAACCCAGGAGGCGGAGATTGCGGTGAGCTGACATCACGCCACTGCACTCCAGCCTGGGCGACAGAAAAAAAAAAAAAGCAATTCCAGTACGCATGCAGAGTTCCTTCCTTGCCCAGAGCTTTCACACGCTGGTTTGATTAATTAAATAACTACCAGTCACGATCCTCACTTAAGAGGCCTCCACTCTGCCTCTGAAATTAAACATTACATTCCATGGAGAGGCCGGAGTATCTATTTTCAAGCTTGCCTGCCTTGGGCCTGTGGAGACGCCCTGAGCACCCTCCTGCCCCCGCCATGACTGCCTGAAGGGCATCTCATCTTCGGCTCTGCGTCTCTGAGTTCCCCAAGCAGGGCCATTAGGTGTCTGATGAATAGAAAAGTGAGTGAGTGGTCAGGGCCGCTCTTGCCTTTTTGTTTTCGCGATAATGGAAACTCTCAACGTGGGAAAGAACACTTACCCCTCGGAAAAAGAAATAGACTCCTCCTAACACAGACAGAATCTCTCCAGTAACTCGGAAATAGTCTTCAGTGTTTTCCATCTTAAAGGGAGGCTGTGAGATGCAGAGAAGTTGGTCACTCCATGCAATCATTCATTCATTCAACAAACACTGACCAGGTACCAAGCCCTGGGATGAAGACATAGCTCCTGCCCAGGAGGCACAGCCTCCATCAGGGGAAGGACACACAGAGACAACGTGTTATTAGGGGAGAGCCTGCCAGGAGGCCCTACTGTGGGCCTGATTCCCCAAAGTGGCAGCGTCTAGGTGCCAAGCAGAGCATCTTACGATGCTGGGCTGCCTCCCAAACAGTGTCCCGGCAGGCCTGGAGCTCCTCCTGGCTGGGAGCAGGGTGATGGACAGCAGGGTGATGGACAGCAGGGTGATGGACAGGTGAAAGCACTCTCACAGACCCCATGCCGTACGCGTCCAGCTGCCCTCCAGCTCATGGCCAGCTCCTGGTCTCCCACAAGCGTCAGGAATGCCCACTGACCATGGAGGGAGGGACCACCTGCACACACTCATGGGTGTCACCCTTGTGTTTCAGTTGCCATTTCCTGGTGTGGGTCACCATCCAGATTTCATAAGCTCTAGTTCACTAGCTTGCCTTATTAGCACATGTTTCTCTTAAAAGGAAGTCATTATGTG